AAACAACATACATTGTACATTATGTATCTTTCGGTCATAATTCCAGACAAACAAACAACATACATTGTACGTTATGTATCTTTCGGTCATAATTACAAACAAACAACATACATTGTACATTATGTATCTTTCGGTCATAATTCCAGACAAACAAACAATATACATTGTACGTTGTGCATCTGTTGGTCATAATTCCAGACAAACAAACAATATACATTGTACGTTGTGCATCTGTTGGTCATAATTCCAGACAAACAAACAATATACATTGTACGTTGTGCATCTGTTGGTCATAATTACAAACAAACAAACAACATACATTGTACATTATGTATCTTTCGGTCATAATTCCAGACAAACAAACAATATACATTGTACGTTGTGCATCTTTTGGTCATAATTACAGACAAACAAACAACATACCTTGTACGTTGTGCATCTTTCGGTCATAATTGCAGACAAACAAACAACATACATTGTACATTATGTATCTTTCGGTCATAATTACAAACAAACAAACAATATACATTGTACGTTGTGCATCTTTTGGTCATAATTACAGACAAACAAACAACATACATTGTACATTATGTATCTTTCGGTCATAATTCCAGACAAACAAACAACATACATTGTACATTATGTATCTTTCGGTCATAATTCCAGACAAACAAACAATATACATTGTACGTTGTGCATCTGTTGGTCATAATTCCAGACAAACAAACAATATACATTGTACGTTATGCATATTTCGGTCATGATTACAGACAAACAAACAACATACATTGTACATTATGTATCTTTCGGTCATAATTCCAGACAGACAAACAACATACCTTGTACGTTATGCATCTTTCGGTTATATTTACAGACAGAGAGAGAACGGACACACTTTTTAACGATTAACTTTTCCTTTCTTTTATGCATAAAATTATAATCTATAAAATACTTACAGCCTCCCGATGTTTGTCAAAACAGGTCGTTATTTTTAATGGTTTACTTTTAGGCCTGTTTTTTTAGTCAGACTGTTACTTTTACAGTTCGCATACAAGGTAACCATCAAATAATGTTTATCCATCCTAAGAAGTGTATATTTATGCATACACACCAGCTGCTATTAAAACAGGGGAGAAATATGGGTTCTTAGAATCAAACTTAGTATTTATTAGCTGCTGCGGGAATCGTAAATACAGGGAAACTGGTAGTATAGATGTGTTAGTCGATTTTAGAATTCTCTCCTATCATCAGGAACCGGATGTTTATAACCCAATGCGCCAACTAACAGAAATAACCAGAATACTTCTTTCTTACTTTTTTTTTTGCATCAGCAGGGATTTCTTCCTTCTCCAGAAACGGAGTAGATGTCTTCCATTCAAACACTTTTTTTTTTCTTCACACCTTTGTGTGCACGTGCCCTACATCTGTGTAAAGTTAATGATGAAGAAAAGCATTAATACAGCTATTCGGTTCCATATGCTTTTATAATATATATATGTTTACCAAATTTTGATAGTTTTTAAACACAAAATCTATTTTGATTTGTCATTAATCTTGCACGTCTCATTTTGTTTCCCTTAGTTTTCAACTTGACCAAACCTGTCCCCCCTCTGTTTTACAATCAATTAGTCCCACGTATCGTGACCAACATTCATTCTTGATCTGTAATCAAAGACACAAGTGCAGGTCTACTAAATGAAGGGATTGAAATTTTTTAATGTTAACTCAATGCTCCAAAACTTGACTCTGTGCTCGTGATGAGTACATATCCTAAAAGGACACATGAAACTTCAAAGATGCCTCAAATGATCAACATTTTTTTCTCATATTTGCGCAGGTTGAGCAAGACAAGAGGAACAGAGCAGTAACTTTATTGCACCTCAACTTAGCTACGGCTATGGAAAGAGCATATCTAATTAAAAACACCTTAGGTGTGAAAAAAAAAAGGTGTGGCCAAAAAGGATTGAGTGTGCGACTTAAAGGAACGAAATTAAAATTGGCGGCCAAACTGGTAGCTACACTTATAGCATTGATAAGAATTTCACAGCAAATAATCATTCATTAGTTAGCCAGGTGCGTTTTTTGTTCAACTTGGGGCAAGATGGTGGGTAAACAAAATACACGGCCTGCTAATTAATGAATGAATATTCGCTGTAAAATTCTTATCAATGCTTTAAGTATAGCTACCAGTTTGGCTGCCAATTTTGATTTCATTCCTTTAAGTTGCACGCTGAATCCTTTTTTTTTTCTTTTTTTTGGCTGCACCTTTTTTCACACCTAAGGTGTTTTTATTAGATATTGTGACTTTTTGTCAATACACAGCAAGTAAGAAAGTGACACTGGAAAGTAATCAACATTAGTTTTAAGATTGCAACCCAATTTTTTGGAACAGAAGTATACTTTACAGAACCAACCAGATTTTTTAAAATATAAGGTATTAGTTTTTCTTAGCTATAATAGTATTAATAACTTCCTTTATAGTAATGCCATAGAAATTAGATTAACAGTTTCTTGTCACACCCCCCCCCCCCCCATGCAATTGGTACAGCTCTACCAAGCATCATTATACATGTTAATTGCTTAAGCTAATACCATGTTACACTAAACACTCTTTAATTGGGATAATTTCTTTCACCCTATAGTTTTGCTGCTCTAAACCAGTCATTTTTAATACGAATGATAAAGAACTAAAAATGGTCCACCTTTGCTTTGAGGTGAAGCTATAGTGAACATTTCAGACCAAGAGCTTGTGACGTTTTGTGTAGGTGTGTGTGCAAAAATTTTGGTCAAAATTCAGTGGTTTTTGTTGAATATCTTTTCACATATGTGGCTTATATTTAGACCAAATTTTGCAATGTACCAAATTTTAAAAAAATCCAGGAAAGTTAAGTATGTTTTTCTATCAAATAAAGTTTCTGTACTTTCAGTGTGAAGTAAAAAGGAAGAAATTCAATCAGAATTGGAGATTTTATATATCATGAATTTCTCAATGGATTGTCTTGAAATTTGGTATGTGAAGTAAGGGTCCAGTATGTGATAGTCTGGATTACTACAACCTGAGTTACAGAAAGTGGCAAATTGCTAAAGTATCACTCCTGCTAATAACACACAGTGAGTCCTGCAGGTTGTTTTGACTGCATGACACACTACTGTTTACACTATACTGTGTAATTTTAAAAGTACTTAAAAAATATTGTATGGTCTAGTAAATTTTAATATAGTTGGCCTGATATAATTGCAAACAAACAAGATTTTTATAGCTGCATAATATGATTGTTTTTTTTGCATTAATTTTTTTCTCGGTCTTGAATGAGTTACATTGTAATGCTGTTACTAACACTAAACTGTTTTATTGTTTTTAGTGACCTTCCTAACAAATAATAAAGATATTCCTTATTGTATTGAAGTTTTTTTATATATGCATTCCAGATTTATTATTTAACACACATGCCCATTAAAATACCTTGTACTATTTTTGAACTAACAATTTAGTGAAATGTATTCTAAAGCCATTATTGTTTTGTTTTTAGTTAAATATTCAAAAGTTTTAGAAGTCATATTTTGATCAAGACACTGAAACGAAGACCTTCTATGTGTGTTTTACAATCCAATAAAAAGAGAACATATTTTTCCATTAAATGTATAATAGAATGGAAATTTTACCTGTTCTTAAAAGTTTTTGTATATACATATGTTGTATTCACCTCTTCCCATAAATGCTTGAAACTACAAAAGTGACTGAAAAATCAATTTTAATCTTAACCATAGCTCAACCATAGAAATGTCACATTCTGCCTTCAGACATTGTTCAGTTTGTGAGAAGTGTCATCATCGATGGTCAAAGAGTCCTGTACACCTTCAAAGGAGAAAGCTGGTCTTGTGAGCCTTTGTTCCTTGTGGTATTTGAATCTTGGGAATCATGTTTCTGTACAGTACCCCTCTACTATGCACCTGCATGACACAGTAAATATCATGCTGGTACAGGGTAATCAATCACTCTATCATGCTGAATTCATGAAGAGTATATATTGCTTAAACATGGCAAGATTGAATATTTGGTGTGCCTTCACTACTGCCCCACATTTTATACAGTCCATCCCCAGTTAGATACTATGTGTGTATGATGCCACGTGCTTCAGCTAGTGTACATTTAGTGTTAGTGAACATTGAAATTCTTCAGGCAATTGTAAGAAGTGTAAAGGCATATCACTCTGATTTATTTTTATATATATTGGCTTTTTTGGACTTTAAAGTCTTTTAACATGTTGGTTTGCTTCACTACTTCAGTAATGCAACAGAAAAACCAGCTTCTGTGTATCATGCCAGAGCAGCTGATAGTAGTTAGAAAGAACACTGAAAATTCTCAAATAATCCCCTGAAAAGGAATCTGAAGGTTGTTAAATACCATGTCCAATAGTTTCCATTGTTTTGTGAGTTTATTTCTTCTTCCACTTTTGTAACAAGCCCTGATAAGTTGTTCTTCTGTAGAATTCTGCAGAAAGAATTGCTTCTGGGTTTTAACACTTAAATTTGTGAAGGAGTTACAATGTATTTCTAAATTCTTCATCTCCAACAACTACATGTTTTGCAAAATTATTTCAGAATATGTTTTGAGTAACTGCTGCATCATCATTTCACCCATCAACAAGACATGGGACCAAGGAACAACTTAATGCACCCAACTGTGGATACAACCAGTATTTGTTTGACAAGTAGCCTCTACAAATATATACTACATCATCATCTCTGGATTGCTTACTTGAAACTTTTTTTTAAATATTCATACAAGCCAACTAAACCTAGAATAACTTCATTGTTGTCCCCTCCTTCCAAAACTTCCCATGCAAGATGACTGGTAAAGTTAGATATTGATTCTTGTGGCTAACATATTCAAATCTAAGATACAAAGTAAAAAATTGTTCACCAAAGCAGAACAAGTCTTTTTAAAGGAAAAGTATTTCCAAAACACATAATTGTAGACAGATATTTGTTTGAATCAAGTACAGAGTTTGATGAGAACCCTAAAGATGTTTGCATGGATCTTACATGGGTATTCCTCAAAAAAGAAATCCTGGAAGACAGGTCATCAACCTGAGACTTGATCAGTTACTTCAGTTCTGTTATAATGGATATGGTCTTTCATCTTTATACAACTTAAATATAAATTGCTTTCTGCTCAGGTGACTTGCAGTAGTAGGTTCCAGCAGAATTACAATGCTATGCATATAAAAACTTAGTTTTGCTTCAAGTGTTACAGCAATCAGCTGATTAAATTTTGGGCTCACAAATTGGACATTTTTGTTTCTTTTAATATAATATTCAATGTTTATTGTTAGGCTTGAAAACACGGTTTTACTAGAGGATGCACCAGGCATGGATTGTGGGAAAGGAGCATAACTTAGATCACATCTATCAGTTTCACTCACACCTGAAAGGGTATTGTTAGGTGTATGGCATTTGAAATAATGGTACTGTTGAAGACATTTGTAAAAAATGACAACATTGTTGACAGGAGTTTTCTCTCTTTGAAGGTACCTTCTTAATTCACCATTACATGGTGCTAATATAGACCTTTTTTCCCTTAAGATCTGCTTTTTGCATAGCACACAATAATACTGTATTCCTTTAGCATGACTGAATAGTGTAAGCTCTAATGTTTAACCATGATGAGCAAGTTGCTGTTTCATTGACTGTTATGTAGCTTGTGTTTAAATTGGTGTACATTTGATCAGTGACTATTTTTTTTTATGTTGTATATTTGCATCACAAAACCAAAGATTTAAACATTTCAAAATACAGGGTGGCTCAAAATTATCATTCATATTTTAACATTTAATGATTAAATAATTAATGAAATATAACCATGCAGTATTTACATCTTGTAGCCCAACTCAAACAGTTTTTATTCTCATGTTTCTTTTTCTCTCCAGTGAGTAGTGTTTCTCTGAAAAATGGCAACCATGCAAGAAAAAGCTCAGTGCATTGTTTGGCTTGCACACACCAAGTCAGTGACTTTGTTGCAACACAATTACTGACACCAGTACAGGAAAGAAATATGTAGGTGTGTTAAGGATATCATGTATCACACCTGTAGCAAACATCATGGAAATGAAGACATGGGTAACAGACACCATGACCACTCTAACTGAGCATGTTGCAGCGAATTTGGACTGCAATCAAATATTGGTTAGACGTGCTGAGAGCCACCAATGGTATACATGTAGAAGTTTAATAACATGTCAATAAAAACTGTTTCGGTTGTTCTACAGATGTTGAAAACTACATGATTGTATATCCTTACTTAGTTAATTATTACATTTTGAAATAGGAAAGATAATTTTGCATCACCCAGTATTGCAAAAGTTGAATTTTGAAATTTTAGCATAAACAACGGTTTTTTTTGACAAAAATAGCCACTGGTGTCTTTAGGTAATACCATACTTCAGTATTTATATCATCTCATAATAGTAAATAAAATACAGAAGCTGTTTAAAGATGGTGCTTGCATGTTAAGTAATGGATGTAAAGTTGGAAAATTACCTTAAAGTGAACAAAGTTGCATACTTGGGCTTACAATGGATTTAATACACATGGAAGAAAATAATTAGTTCATTTCTGTAGATATACCCAGCAATAATTCCATTAGATTTGAAACAACTCCTATTGTGAATAAATACTTGTTTTTCTATTGTGACTTATAAGTAAAAGGCCTGTCTTGTACACTCTTGTCTTTTCATGTTATTTCTGGTATTTTGCTCAGAACTATCCAAAAGGACACCGATAGAAAACAGCCCTGTGCATATCATTAACATTGACATTCAAGATAATCATGAGGAAGCCACAATTGGAGCTTTTCTTATATGTGAGATTTCACAAATGGTAAATAGTAATTACTCAAGTTATATTTGTTTTGAACAGGTGCTTGAAATTTAAAATTATGTAATCATCTATTAAAGTACACATTTTCTTTTGAAATCTAGTTTACTGCAGATAATGACACTTTATTATTATTATTATTAATTTTTAAATGGCAGTTTTTGAAGCATTAAGAGTTATTTCTTTGTGTACTTGTAACAACAGTAATATGCTAGAATTTTATTTTATTTTTTCAGATGGCTGATTCTGAAGACTTGGATAATGATATTGATGAGCTACTTCAAATGTTTGAGACAAAAGCTCAGAAACCAGTTCTTCACACAATTCAATTTTATTGACGATTACTTCTTCTAGGGCTAAAAGATAATGTTTTTTGAGCATTGTTGTAATTGTCCAGAAATTATTTATAAATAATAAAACCAGAACTTCCTAATTTTTTACTTCATACTTAAAACATTCATGTTCTTCCTGTAAAAAGCTGGAAGCTGGAGAATGTTGAATTAAAGGTCCAAATTAAAGTAATTATAATTATTTTTAAAAGTTCTTCTCGTCCTGAACAAGTAACAGGCAAGCAAATTTGTTTTTTTTTGTTTTTTTATTGACTTACATATGACCATGAAGTGCAGGGTTGAAAAAAAAAATTAAAGTTTTGTTTTTTAAGATAAATGTCCTTGAGAAAATGAACTATGAAGAGATTTGTTGAAAGGAGAATGTTTCATATGCAGTAAAATTTCAAAATGTTATAGATGTCAAGAACAGTAATATTTCTAAGGATATTTATTATCTATACTTTATTTTGTTTAACTTTATAAACAAATAACCATAATAGATAGCTTGTAACATTTTTTTTCAATAAAAGAGTAGTGGTCACATTCAACAAAAATATATGTGTTTCAGTTTATTTTTTATCTGTTGCTCTTCTTACAAAACTTTTCAGTCACAGTTGGAGCTGATGCTCTCAAGAACATACTTAGTACTTGAAATTTACAAAAATGTTTTAAACCATTAAATAAATGCTGTTTTATAACATTAATCAATGATAGTTGGTGAATGAAGACACTGTTCAAATATTTATATGGTCCAATATATTGGCATAGAATTTAAAATTACACCTGAATGTTGTACTGGTATATCACAGGGTAGCTTTAATATTGTTGTTTGTTTTGTGTAGTATAATCTTTAACTTTTAAAGCTAAAATACTGTATGTAAATCAGTATGGTAATTATGACTCACCAATAAAATAAAAAATGAATACAATCATCAATTCAAGGTTATAGACCTTTATAATAGAAAAGCAATTATACAGAAATTATATTATTCATTTACTTTTAAAAAAGTTTATTTATATAAATGGTTTAAACTTTGTTAGAATTTAGAAGAATACTTTGCTTGAATGGAAAGATGGACCTTTCATTAACCAGACATATATTCTGATGATGATGTGGCTACATGTAAATTGGTTAAGAACCTAATTTATCTGAAGTATATAAAACTATTGGATTAGTCCTAAGCACAAATTTTTAAAAGTTAGACATCATTGATATAAGTCGTTTTGAAAGTTAATGTTGTATTTTTCATCTAAATGTAAGATTGCTTAACAAAATATCAAATTTTTGACGAGACATTAATACAGTTGAATCAGATTTTTATATCATTTTATATTTAGTAAAATATTATATAATACACAATGGACTTAAGACAATTTTATACGATTTCACACAAACAAATTTTAGGCTAGAAATTTCCTTCACATCTAGCACATAATAATAAAAATAAAGAACAACAAGAGGGAACACATTTGATTTTCTTCAAGTGCAACCAGCCACAGCCAGTGAAGTCTTTGTTCAAAGTCAATTTTGTAGTTATATTTCATTGCATTAGTTACCATAAAAGGGGATCATGCTTCAGTAGATAATAATAATAATAAAGTTTACACTGTAACAGTAACTGTATATGAACTTACCTTGATGGTACATTTATTATCATCTACCAAAACTTGTGATAAAGGTGTACTTAATATTTTCTGGAACATAAAAGGCTTCTATGTGAAAAAGATTATCTCTGTAGGTGTGGATGATAAATTAGCTAAATGGATAGAATAGTGGCTGGATGGAAGAAAGCAGAAGGTTGTTATAAATGCAGTTCAATCAAATTGGATTAATGTCACAAGTTGGGCACCTCAGGGCTCTGTTTTAGGATCTTTGCTCCTTACATCAATGACACAGAAGAAAGAATGGTCAATAAATTACTTAAATTTGGAGACAGACCTTTCTTCTTCAGGGGCAAACTGGTTATAGGGTTTTTATTCATTTCTACCAAGACTTCTTGAACCTACATGTTTTTGTAACATCCTGAATTAAATTTGCAGATGATATTAAGGTCTTGAGTGTTGCTAACTGTGAAGAGGATGCTGATGCTTTATAAAAGGATTTAGATCATTTAATGAGTTGGGCAAATAAATGGCAAATGGGTTTTAATTATAATAAATGCAAGATAATGCATGTGGGATATCACAATTTGAATTGTAAGTATAATTTGGATGGGAATAACCTTAACAGTATCATGAAAGAAAGGGATCTTCGTGTAATGTTTGATCAGTCTGTTAAGCCTTCCAAGCTGTTGCTGATGGTAGAACAAATAGGATTTTAGGTTGTATTTACAGAAATATTGACTACAAGTCTAAAGAGGTTATAATTTCATTGTATACGTCACTGGTTAGGCCAGATATGGAGTATTGTGTTTAGTCTTAGGAACGACACTGAATTGTTGGAAGGGTTCAGAAGAGGTTTATTAGAATGGTGTCTGGGAGAAGTTAAGATCTGGAATTTTCTCTTGAAAAAAAGAAGAGTTAGAGGGGATCTGTTTGAGGTGTTTAAGATCGTACAGGGAATTGACAGTGTTGATGCATCATCTCATTTCATACTTAATGGCAAAAATCTGTAGGACTGGGGAACACAAATATATATTTTGGCAAGGTAGGATCATCTCAGCTAAGACTGTTTTATTTTTCTAACAGGATGGTTGGACTTTGGAATGGGATGCCTTCGTATGTTGTGAAGACAATATATTTAAGTAAGTTTAAGAGAAAGCTTGATAACTATACAAATGATAAGGAATAGCTTTAAGAAGTTTTTTTTTATATTTATTTCATATTTCAGTTTAGAGGATGGTACAGCTGAGATGGACCAATAGGTCCCTTGTTATATTTAAAATATAAGAGAATTAAAAATGTATACAGATTATTTATAGAAAAAAAAAATAATGTGTTACTCTTAAAATCAGCACACCAGGCTTCAGTTACAAAGTTTCACCTACAAAACTTTAGACCTTAGCTTTATATTTAAGCAAAAATTGGTGTTTTGAAGATAAGAAGTAAAAAGTTTCCTTGTGAAGTATTTATTAGACTTTGGTTACTATAGCAACTTTTTAAAAATTCTATAGCAGTGTTTATGTACACTAGTATATGTGTAAAAAGCAAATTATGTTGTAAATTTTTTTGCTCACAAATAATTACATAAGTCTAGTTTATATACATGTTTAGCTTCCTTGTGGTTGCTGGCATTAAGGCTGAATACGATTTTGCAGTAAATTATTTACATTTTAAATTTAACATGTAAAAACATCAATTTCAGCAAAGATGTACACATCTTTCATCTATATATTTATAGTAAACCTTCTGATGATACTATCAGGTCTGTGGGTACTAACTTGCTCATCTCTAGTGTACAAGTTCATTAATTTCCACTGGGCAGTATGAAAATATTAATAATACTGTTACGACAGTGGAAGTCATGCGACACTGGGAGCATGCATGCTGGAGTTTTTAGAAGGATCATGACTTATCGAGGAACCTCGCGAATGTCCGAGTGTTTGCCAGGCGCCCTCTTTTTTTAGCATATAAGCCCGGCGAGAAAAACCAGCACAATTGCATAGAGAGATAGATTGAAGATTTAAATAATTGAGTCAAGCGAACAGTAGGCACCGTAAGTAAAGTGTGTGAACCACTGTAATTTATAACGT